GAACTCTCTCCAGGTAAACTCCAGGTAAACTGGAACAATGTTGTGATAACTGGAACTATGTTGTGAAAACTGGAACAATGTTGTGATAACTGGAACAATCTTGTGATTACTGGAACAATGTTGTGAAAACTGGAACAATGTTGTGATAACTGGAACAATGTTGTGACAACTGGAACAATGTTGTGATAACTGGAACAATGTTGTGATAACTGGAGGAAGGTTGTGATAACTGGAGCAATGTTGTGATAACTGGAACTATGTTGTGATAACTGGAACAATGTTGTGATAACTGGAACAATCTTGTGATTACTGGAACAATGTTGAGAAAACTGGAACAATGCTTGACTGGAAGAAGTTTGTGATAACTGGAACAATGTTGTGGTAACTGGAACAATGTTGTGGTAACTGGAACAATGTTGTGATAACTGGAACAATGTTTACCTGGAGTTTACCTGGAGAGAGTTCCGGGGGTCAACGCCCCCGCGGCCCGGTCTGAGACCAGGCCTCCTGGTGGATCAGAGCCTGATCAACCAGGCTGTTGCTGCTGGCTGCACGCAAACCAACGTACGAGCCACAGCCCGGCTGATCCGGAACTGACTTTAGGTGCTTGTCCAGTGCCAGCTTGAAGACTGCCAGGGGTCTGTTGGTAATCCCCCTTATGTGTGCTGGGAGGCAGTTGAACAGTCTTGGGCCCCTGACACTTATTGTATGGTCTCTTAACGTGCTAGTGACACCACTGCTTTTCATTGGGGGGATGGTGCATCGTCTGCCAAGTCTTTTGCTTTCGTAGTGAGTGATTTTCGTGTGCAAGTTCGGTACTAGTCCCTCTAGGATTTTCCAGGTGTATATAATAACGTATCTCTCCCTCCTGCGTTCCAGGGAATACAGGTTTAGGAACCTCAAGCGCTCCCAATAATTGAGGTGTTTTATCTCCGTTATGCGCGCCGTGAAAGTTCTCTGTACATTTTCTAGGTCGGCAATTTCACCTGCCTTGAAAGGTGCTGTTAGTGTGCAGCAATATTCCAGCCTAGATAGAAGAAGTGACCTGAAGAGTGTCATCATGGGCTTGGCCTCCCTAGTTTTGAAGGTTCTCATTATCCATCCTGTCATTTTTCTAGCAAATGCGATTGATACAATGTTATGGTCCTTGAAGGTGAGATCCTCCGACATGATCACTCCCAGGTCTTTGACGTTGGTGTTTCGCTCTATTTTGTGGCCAGAATTTGTTTTGTACTCTGATTAAGATTTAATTTCCTCATGTTTACCATATCTGAGTAATTGAAATTTCTCATCGTTGAACTTCATATTGTTTTCTGCAGCCCACTGAACGATTTGGTTGATGTCTGCCTGGAGCTTTGCAGTGTCTGCAATGGTTTAGTTAGTTTAATATGTTTATTATGCACCCCATACCCATCCTGTGGGCGGTAGTCAAAAGATTACAGAGGTACATAATTGGTCCAGGGACTGGACTCCAAAGTTTTGATAGCTGAGCAAGTTACAGAGGCAATGAACTCACAATTTACAAAGGTAATGAACTCACAATTTACAAAGGTAATGAACTCACAATTTACAAAGGTAATGAACTCCAGGTAAGTCTGGTCACAATCATGACAAGTTACAAAGGTATTTACAGATTACAGAGGTACGTAATGGGTCCAGGGACTGGGCCCCCAAAGTTTTGATAGCTGAACTAGGTACAAAGGTAATGAGCTCACAAGTTACAAAGGTAATGAATTCTGTAGAATGGTTACTTACGTTTATACTTTGGCTACAATCATGAACAAATTATAGAGTAATGAGCAATTCACACTTCCACACCCGGTCAAACTGTAATGAGTTATTGGTGCAAATATTGATTGTTGAGTCACACACACCACACACACACACGATGGAAGACACTGTCATGCAGATTCGGGTGTCATCTGCAAAGGAAGACACGGTGCTGTGGCTGACATCCTTGTCTATGTCGGATATAAGGATGAGGAACAAGATGGGGGCGAGTACTGTGCCTTGTGGAACAGAGCTTTTCACCGTAGCGGCCTCGGACTTTACTCTGTTGACAACTACTCTCTGTGTTCTGTTAGTGAGGAAATTATAGATCCATCGACCGACTTTTCCTGTTATTCCTTTAGCACGCATTTTGTGCGCTATTACGCCATGGTCACACTTGTCGAAGGCTTTTGCAAAGTCTGTATATATTACATCTGCATTCTTTTTGTCTTCTAGTGCATTTAGGACCTTGTCGTAGTGGTCCAATAGTTGAGACAGACAGGAGCGACCTGTTCTAAACCCATGTTGCCCTGGGTTGTGTAACTGATGGGTTTCTAGATGGGTGGTGATCTTGCTTCTTAGGACCCTTTCAAAGATTTTTATGATATGGGATGTTAGTGCTATTGGTCTGTAGTTCTTTGCTGTTACTTTACTGCCCCCTTTGTGGAGTGGGGCTATGTCTGTTTTTTTTTTAGTAACTGTGGGACGACCCCCGTGTCCATGCTCCCTCTCCATACGATGGAAAAGGCTCGTGATAGGGGCTTCTTGCAGTTCTTGATGAACACAGAGTTCCATGAGTCTGGCCCTGGGGCAGAGTGCATGGGCATGTCATTTATCTCCTGTTCGAAGTCATTTGGCGTCAGGATAACATCGGATAGGCTTGTGTTAATCAAATTTTGTGGCTCTCTCATAAAAAATTAATTTTGATCTTCGACTCTCAGTCTGGTTAGCGGCTTGCTAAAAACTGAGTCATATTGGGACTTGAGTAGCTCACTCATTTCCTTGCTGTCATCTGTGTAGGACCCATCTTGTTTAAGTAGGGGCCCAATACTGGACGTTGTTCTCGATTTTGATTTGGCATAGGAGAAGAAATACTTTGGGTTTCTTTCGATTTCATTTATGGCTTTTAGTTCTTCCCGCGATTCCTGACTCCTAAAGGATTCTTTTAGCTTAAGTTCGATGCTTGCTATTTCTCTGACTGTGATAACTGGAACAATGTTGTGAAAACTGGAACAATGTTGCGATACCTGGAACAATGTTGCGATAACTGGAACAATGTTGTGATAACTGGAACAATGTTGTGATAACTGGCACAATGTTATGATAACTGGAACAATGTTGTGATAACTGGAACAATGTTGTGATAACTGGAACAATGTTGTGATAACTGGAACAATGCTTGACTGGAACAAGGTTGTGATAACTGGAACAATGTTGTGATAACTGGAACAATGCTTGACTGGAACAGTGTTGTTATAACTGGAACAATGTTGTGATAACTGGAACAGTGTTGTGATGACTGGAACAATGTTGTGATAACTGGAACAATGTTGTGATAACTGGAACAGTGTTGTGATAACTGGAACAATGTTGTGATAACTGGAACAATGTTGTGATAAATGGAACAATGTTGTGATAACTGGAACAATGCTTGACTGGAACAAGATTGTGATAACTGGAACGATGTTGTGATAACTGGAACAATGCTTGACTGGAACAAGGTTGTGATAACTGGAACAATGTTGTGATAACTGGAACAAGGTTGTGATAACTGGAACAATGCTTGACTGGAACAAGGTTGTGATAACTGGAACAAGGTTGTGATAACTGGAACAATGTTGCAACAACTGGAACAATGTTGTGATAACTGGAACAATGTTGTGATAACTGGAACAATGTTGTGAAAACTGGAACAATGTTGTGATAACTGGAACAATGTTGTGATAACTGGAACAATGTTGTGATAACTGGAACAATGTTGTAACAACTGGAACAATGTTGTGATAACTGGAACAATGTTGTGATAGCTGGAACAATGTTGTGAAAACTGGAACAATGTTGCGATAACTGGAACAATGTTGCGATAACTGGAACAATGTTGTGATAACTGGAACAATGTTATGATAACTGGAACAATGTTGTGATAACTGGAACAATGTTGTGGTAACTGGAACAATGTTGTGATAACTGGAACAATGCTTGACTGGAACAAGGTTGTGATAACTGGAACAATGTTTTGATAACTGGAACAATGCTTTACTGGAACAGTGTTGTTATAACTGGAACAATGTTGTGATAACTGGAACAGTGTTGTGATGACTGGAACAATGTTGTGATAACTGGAACAATGTTGTGATAACTGGAACAATGTTGTGATAACTGGAACAATGCTTGACTGGAACAAGATTGTGATAACTGGAACAATGTTGTGATAACTGGAACAATGCTTGACTGGAACAAGGTTGTGATAACTGGAACAATGTTGTTATAACTGGAACAATGCTTGACTGGAATAAGGTTGTGATAACTGGAACAAGGTTGTGATAACTGGAACAATGCTTGACTGGAACAAGGTTGTGATAACTGGAACAAGGTTGTGATAACTGGAACAATGTTGTAACAACTGGAACAATGTTGTGATAACTGGAACAATGTTGTGATAACTGGAACAATGTTGTGATAACTGGAACAATGTTGTGATAACTGGAACAATGTTGTGATAACTGGAACAATGTTGTAATAACTGGAACAATGTTGTGATAACTGGAACAAGGTTGTGATAACTGGAACAATGTTGTAATAACTGGAACAATGTTGTGATAACTGGAACAATGTTGTAACAACTGGAACAATGTTGTGATAACTGGAACAATGTTGTGATAACTGGAACAATGTTGTGATAACTGGAACAATGTTGTAATAACTGGAACAATGTTGTGATAACTGGAACAATGTTGTAACAACTGGAACAATGTTGTGATAACTGGAACAATGTTGTAATAACTGGAACAATGTTGTGATAACTGGAACAATGTTGCGATTACTGGAACAATGTTTTTTTTATGTCAGTAACAAAAATTTAGATGATCAGGAAGGGGGGGGGGTATTTACACTGAAATGTGTACCTGTATATCTCGGTATGTATTCTGTATACTACTACTACTACTACTAATAATAATAATAATAATAATAATAATAATAATAATAATAATAATAATGGTAGCACTCACTTGGTCCAATAATAACGCCAGTGGCCTGGCCCACTGACAACATACTCAGAGAGAAGGTTCGTTCTTCCAGGGTGGTGGAGCTGGCCATGTATGTCCTACACACTGATGATAAGGCTGTGAATATAGTGTTCTCGTTAAAATACTTACACACACACAAATAAAGGCGCCTAGCTACCACATGTGTGTGTGCACCTGTACTGTATATGTGTGTGCACCCATATGTGTGTGTGCGCTATATGTGTGTGCGCTATATGTGTGTGTGCGCTATATGTGTGTGTGCGCTATATGTGTGTGTGCGCTATATGTGTGTGTGTGTGCGCTATATGTGTGTGTGCGCTATATGTGTGTGTGTGCGCTATATGTGTGTGTGCGCTATATGTGTGTGTGTGCGCTATATGTGTGTGTGTGCGCTGTGTGTGTGCGCTATATGTGTGTGTGTGTGCGCTATATGTGTGTGTGCGCTATATGTGTGTGTGTGCGCTATATGTGTGTGTGCGCTATATGTGTGTGTGTGTGCGCTATATGTGTGTGTGTGCGCTGTGTGTGTGCGCTATATGTGTGTGCGCTATATGTGTGTGTGCGCTATATGTGTGTGTGTGCGCTATATGTGTGTGTGCACCTATACTGTATGTGAGTGTGCGCCCATGTGTGTGTGTGCACCCATACTATATGTGTGTGCGCATAAGGGCGACTAGTAAACCCAAGAATAACATTCCGACATCTCAGTAAGAAATCATTCAAGACTCTATACACCGCGTACGTTAGGCCCATATTGGAGTATGCAACACCAGTTTTTAACCCACATCTGGTCAAGCACGTCAAGAAATTAGAGAAAGTGTAAAGGTTTGCAACAAGACTAGTCCCAGAGCTAAGGGAAATCTCCTACGAAGAAAGGTTAAGGGAAATCGACCTGACGACACTGGGGGACGGGAGGGACTGGGGGGGGGAGACACATGATAGAGACATAAAATACTGAGAGGAATCGACAAGGTGGATATGGACACAGAAACAAGGGGTCACAATTGGAAGCTGAAGACTCAGATGAGTCACAGGGATGTTAGGAAGTATTTATTGTCAGGAAGTGGAATAGTCTGGCAAGTGACATAGTGGAAGCAGGTACCATACTTAGCTTTAAGAAGAGGTATGATGAAGCTTATGGAGCAAGGAGAGAGTGACCTAGTAACGATGAGTAAAGAAGCGAGGACAGTAGCAATGACTGGACCCCTGCAACCACAATTTGGTGAGCACAATTAGGTGAGTACACACACACATACACACACACACACACACATTCTCAACATATGTTAAAGAGTTCAGAACTTGCCCAGCACTCCACGGAACTTGCCCAGCACTCCACGGAACTTGCCCAGCACTCCACGGAACTTGCCCAGCACTCCACGGAACTTGCCCAGTACCCCAAGAATAAAGTCAGCAAATATCTCGCCCATAAAACAATGTAAACCAAAGTTTGGCAGATAAATGTAGATGCAGTATTAACAGGTGTAAAATCATGAAAGAGAGAGTACCAGAGGCTAACTCTGATGTAGTCACTCTAACAGAGACTAAACTGAGGTATAATAAGACATGTGATATTCCCGGAGAGGCTACCAAACAGTATGAAAAAAGAAGGGGAAAAAGGTGGAGGAAGAAATACACTGACGTTAAGGAACCAGCAGAGATTGGAGGGACTACAAAATCTGGAAACGGTCCTAAATGATATAAACTGGGAAGATAACCTAAGCAACACGGATCCACACTTATGTCTAGAACAAATTAACTTTGTGGCACTTGAGGTATGCTCAAGGCATATTCCTTTGTGGAAAAGAAGATGTAAACTAGAAAGAGAAAGGCACTCCCTAAACAGGCGAAGACAAAGAATAACAGAGGTGCTACAAGAGGCCAATATACCTGCAATACGTAGGGAGACATTGGTCAGAGAAATAGCAAACATCGAACTAAAGCTACAGGAATCTTACAGGAGTCAAGAAACACGGGTTGAACTAAAAGCCGTAAATGAAATTGAAAGAAACCCAAAATATTTCTTATCTTATGCCAAATCAATGAAACTCTGAGTTCATCAAGAACTGCAAGAAGCACCTATCATGTACTTTTAACATCCTATGGAGAGGGATCATAGACACAGGGGTTGTCCCACAGCTGTTAAAAACAATAAACATAGCCCCAAAAGCTTTACTGTCACAAAGGTGGCAGTAAAGCAACAGCAAAGAACTACAGACCGATAGCGCTAACGTTCCATTTCATAAAAATCTTTGAAAGGGTTCTAAGAAGCAAGATCGTCACCCATCTAGATACCCATCAGTTACACAACCCAGTGCAGCATGGATTTAGACAAGGTCCTGGATGTTCTAGAAGACGAACAAAATGCAGATGTAATATACGTAGACTTTGCAAAAGCCTTTTACAGGTGTGACCATGGCATGATAGCGCACAAAATGCATGATAAGGGAATAACAGGAAAAGCTGGTAGATGGATCTATAATTTCCTAACAAATAGAACACAGAGGGGTAGTAGTAAACAGAGTAAAGTCTGAGGCAGCTACTATGAAAAGCTGTGTTCCACAAGGCACAGTACTCACTCCCATCTTGTTCCTCATCCTCATATCTGACATAGACAGGGATGCCACAGCACCTTTGCAAATGACACCCGAATTTGCTTGAAGGTGTCCTCCATTGAGAACACCTCGGCCTGGCCCCTCGAAGAAGACATCTGCTCGTACATTAACTGTGTTGAAAAGGCAGTTACTCTCTAACTGCTGTGACGATCACTGTAACTGCGATAAAACACCTCAGTTACTGGGAACGCTTGAAGTTCCTCGACCTGTACTCCCTAGAATGCAGGCGAGAAAGATACATGATTATATACACTTGGAAAATCCTAAAGGATTAGTACCAAACCTGCACACGAAAATCACTCCCTATGAAAGCAAAAGACTCGGCAGACGACGCAACATCCCCCAGTGAGAAGCAGAGGTGCCAATAGCACAATAAGGGTCAACACAGTAAGTGTCAGGGGCCCAAGACTGTTCAACTGCCTCTCATAATACATAAGAGGGATTACCAATAGACCCCTGGCTGCTTTCAAGAAGGCACTGGAGAAGCACCTGAAGTCAGTACCTAATTTGCATGAAATGCTCTGCATAACAAGTGATGTCAGCTATGGTCTCTATACCTTGTACATGTTCTTGTAGAACTAAATATTATTGATATTATTATTATTATAAGTATTGGGGACAGTGCCCGAGAGAACAAGAGGCAAAGCTAAAGCTTTGTAGGGTGAGGAGACCTCACCTTACAAAGTAACTAGGAGAACTGGGACCACCATGGTGGACCAGGAACAGGGTGAGGGAATCTTATAGTCACAGTGATGAAGAACTTTCTGAGACAACATGTTAAGGAAACAACAAGAGTGAGGGGAGGAGATGAATCAGCTAGACTACACCTGTTTTTTATACAGAATGAATACAACTCACTAGAAATTACTTCCGAGAAACTTGAAAAATCCGGCAGTCACCTGATGGTGAGTTTGTAGTTACTTGTGGAAATGGGAACAAAGCAAGGAAGGGAGGAAGTGAAGAGAAGGAAATGGGGATAGATGACTATGATAGAAGGAGAAACTTTCCGAGAGAAGTGCAATGGGAACCGGAAAAGAGAAAGCTACAATAAATGATGGATAGTACACAATGATGGAACTGCTGAAATGTAAAGGGTAAGGAATGATTGAAACAAAACAAGAAGGAAAGGAAGAAGAAAACAAGAGTGAACATAAGACCATAATAAAGAAGAAGCACTGCAGCAGGTCTACTGTCCCATGCTAGGCAGGTTCAAGTCACCTACTGGCCCATGCAGGCAGATCTAAGTCATGCCCATCCACACCCACTCATGTCTCATCTATTTTTAAAACTACACAAGGTTCGATGACATTACTCAGGAGTTTGTTCCACCCGTCCACAACTCTATTATCAAAATAGTGTTTTCCTATATCCTTTATAAATCTAAAGTTTTCCAACCATTGCTACGAGTCCTGTCTTGATTACATATTTTTAGTACATTATTTACATCCTCTTTATTTATTCCTGATTTCCAATTATACACCTCAGTCATATCATCCTCCTAATTCTACGACTTTCTAGAGAGTGCAGGTTCAGGATCTCGGTCTATCCTCGTAGGGAAGATTTCTGATACATGGGATCAACTTTGTCATCCTCCTCTATACGTTTTCCAGAGCATTTATGTCCATTCTGTAATACGGTGACCAGAACTGAGCAACATAGTCTAAATGAGGCCTAACCTGAGGACTCTTGTTATTTATACTTCTTGATATGAAGCCAAAAATTATATTCGCTATATTATGAACACCAATGTTCCGTTGTCTTGGTTTTAGATTACTGCTAACTAAAATTCCTAACTCTTTATCCCAGTGATTAGGGTCTACATTATATAGTTTATAAGTAGTACAAGAAAGGTATACAATACCGACAAGATGATATTTAGACACATGTGCAACATCTGGGTATCTTTATTGTAGACGTTTCGCCATCCAGTGGCTTTATCAATACAAATTCTAGGACATAATTTGAAGACAGTAGAACTATATACAGAAGATGAGGTAATCAGTCCCTCAACCTTGGAGTTGGTGTGGAGAACACCGTAGTCGTGGAGATTCTGGTGCAGAGGCAAGGAGCCTGGCGCTTGTATACTAACGGCAAGTGGAAAGGGACGTGTAGCAGACGAGGGCATAGTCACTGGTAGGCGGGATTTTCCAGTCGAAGTAGGTCAGACCCTTTCCACCTGGCGTTAGTATATAAGCGCCAGGCTCCTTGCCTCTGCTCCAGAACCTCCACGACTACGGTGTTCTTCACACCAACTCCAAGGTTGAGGGACTGATTACCTCATCTTCTATATATAGTTCTACTGTCTTCAAATTATGTCCTAGAATCTGTATTGATAAAGCCACTGGATGGCGAAACGTCTACAATAAAGATAACCAGATGTTGCACATGTGTCTAAATAGTTTATAAGTGCCATGTTTATTTTCCTTTCCTACGCTTAGAACTGAAGTCCATGATGCAATAAGGAGTGAAGAGAGGTCAAGGTGTCCCGTAGCTGGGTTGGTAGTGCACTCATCTCACACACTGAGGCCCGTGGTTTGATCCCCGGTACGAGTAGTAACATTAGGACGTGTTTCCTTAAGACATCTGCTGTCCCCGATCACTTAGCAGTAAATAGGTACCTAGGTGCTAGCCGCCTGGTGTGGGTCGCATCCTGGGCACAAAATTAACCTAAGTTCCCCAAAATACTCTGCAAAACAAGAGTCTTTCTATATAGCAGTATGTCACTGATGTGAGCTATGGTCTGTATAAGTTGTATCATGTACTTGTACAAATACAGATTATTTTATAATAATAATAATAATAATAATAATTATTATTTATTATTATTATTATTTTTATTATTATTATTATTATTATTATTATTATTATTATTATTTATTATTATTAAGAGTACGAGAAAGAGGATTTCAAAGAAACACAGAGTAAATCAAAGAGCCAGAAACTGAGAAGAAAGCAGAAGAATAAGGAACAAGAACACAAGGACAAGAAGAGAAGCCGTAAAAGAGATAGAAAATGATAAATCTTGAGAGACCAGAAGGGAAACGAAGTTACTACACAGACATAAGACAACCGTGAAGGAACAAGTGATGAAGTTGATGAAGGAAGGAAGGAAGGAAGGAAGTTAGGAAGGAATGAAGGTAGGAAGGAAGGTAGGAAGGAAGGTAGGAAGGTAGGAAGAAAGGTAGGAAGGAAGGTAGGAAGGTAGGAAGGTAGGAAGGTAGGAAGGAAGGTAGGAAGGAAGGTAGGAAGGTAGGAAGGTAGGAAGGAAGGTAGGAAGGAAGGAAGGAAGGAAGGTAGAAAGGTAGGAAGGAAGGAAGGGAAGGAATGTAGGAAGGTAGGAAGGAAGGTGGAAAGGAAGCAAGGAAGGAAGGAAGGAAGGTAGAAAGGTTAGGAAGGAAGGAAGGAAGGAAGGTAGGAAGGTAGGAAGGAAGGTAGGAAGGTGGAAGAAAGGTAGGAATGAAGTAGGAAGGAGTAGGAAGGAAGGAGGTAGGAAGGTAGGAAGGAAGGAAGGTTAGGAAGGTAGGAAGAAAGGATAGGAGGAAGATAGGAAGGGAAGGAAGGAGGAAGGAAGGAAGGTAGGAAGGAAGGTAGGAAGGAAGGTACGAAGGTAGGAAGGTAGGAAGGAAGGTAGGAAGGAAGGTAGGAAGGTAGGAAGGAAGGTAGGAAGGAAGGAAGGAAGGAAGGTAGGAAGGTAGGAAGGAAGGTAGGAAGGAAGGTAGGAAGGTAGGAAGGAAGGTAGGAAGGAAAAAAGGAAGGTAGGAAGGTAGGAAGGAAGGTAGGAAGGAAGGTAGGAAGGTAGGAAGGAAGGTAGGAAGGAAGGAAGGAAGGAAGGAAGGTAGGAAGGTAGGAAGGAAGGTAGGAAGGAAGGTAGGAAGGTAGGAAGGAAGGTAGGAAGGAAGGAAGGAAGGAAGGTAGGAAGGTAGGAAGGAAGGAAGGAAGGAAGGTAGGAAGGTATGGAAAGGGAAAGGGAGGAAGAAAGGAAGGTAGGAAGGAAGGAGGAAGGTAGGAAGGAGGAAGGGAAGGTAGAAGGTAGGAAGGTTAGGAAGGAAGGAAGGAAGGTAGGAGGTAGGAAGGAAGCAGAAGGAAGGTTAGGAAGGTGGAAGGTAGGTAGGAAAGTAGGAGGAAGGTAGAAGGAGGAAGTAAGGTAGGAAGGAAGGTAGGAAGGTGAACGGTGGAAGGTAGGAGAAGTAGGAAGGTAGGAAGAGGTAGGAAGGAAGGAGGTAAGGTAGGAAGGAAGTAGGAGGAAGGAAGGCAGGAGGAGGATGAGGAGAAGGTAAGGAGGAAGGTAGGAAGGAGGAAGGAAGGAGGAAGAAGGTAGGAAGGAGGTAAGGGAAGGAGGAGGTAGGCAAGGTAGGAGGAAGGAAGGAAGGTAGGAAGGAGGTAGGAGAAGGAGGAAGAGTAGGGAGGAAAGGGGAAGGAAGGAGGAGGAGGTTAGGAAGGGAGGAGGAAGGAGGGAAGGGGGGTAGGAAGGAAGGTAGGGGAGGAGGAAAGGAAGGGAGAGGAAGGTAGGAGGGTGGAAGGTAGGAAGAAGGGAGGAAAGGGAAAGGGAGGGAAAGGAAGGGGGAAAGGGAAAGGGAGGAAGGAAGGAAAGGAAGGAAAAAAAAAGGTGGGGAAAGGGAAAAAAGGAATAGGAAGGAAGGAGGAAGGAAGATAGGAAGGAAGGTAGGAAAGGAAGGTAGGAAAGGGAGGAAGGAAGGAAGGAAAGGAAGGAAGGGAGGAAAGGGAAAAAGGTAGGAAGGGAAAGGAAGTAGGTAGGAAGGAAGGAAGGTGGAAGGAAGGTAGGAAGAAAGGGAGGAAGGAAGGGAGGAAAGGAAGGGAAAGGGAAGGGGGAAGGTTGGAAGGGAGGAAGGTAGGAAGGAAAGTAGGGAAAGGGAAGGGAGGGGAAAGGGGAGGGAAAGGGAGGGGAAGGGAAAGGGAAAGGGGGAAGGGAAAGGGAAGGGAAAGGTAGGAAGGAAGGTAGGAAGGTAGGAAGGAAGGTAGAGTAGGAAAGGAAGGAAGGAAGGTGGGAAAGGGAAAGGGAAGGTAGGAAGAAGGAAGGAAGAGGAAGGTAGGAGGTAGGAAGAAGGAGAAAGGAAGGTAGGAAGGAAAGGAAGGAAGGTGGGAAGGAAGGAAAGGGAAGGTAGGAGAAGGAAGTAGGAAAGGGTAGGAAGGAAGGAAGGAAGGAGGTAGGAAGGAAGGAAGGAAGGTAGGAAGGAAGGAAGGAAAGGTAGGTAGGAAGGAAGGAAAGGAAGGAAAAGGAAGGAAGGAAGGAAGGTAGGAAGGAAAGGAAGGAAGGAAAGAAGGGAAAGAGGAAGGTAAGGGTAGGAAGAAAGGAAGGAAGGAAAGAAGGGAGGAGGAAAGGAAGGAAGGGAAGGAAGGTAGGTAGGAAGGAAGGAAGGTAGGAAGGAAGGTAGGAAGGTAGGAAGGAAGGTAGGAAGGTAGGATGGAAGGAAGGAAGGAAGGTAGGAAGGAAGGAAGGTAGGAAGGAAGGAAAGGGGAAGGTAGGGAGGAAGGAAGGAAGGTAGAAGGAAGGTAGGGAAGGTAGGAAGGAAAGGAAGGAAAGGGAAAGGAAGGAAGGAAGGTAGGTAGGAAGGAAGAAAGGAAGGTAGGAAGGAAGGAAGGAAGGAAGGAAGGAAGGAAAGAAGGAAGGAAGGTAGGTAGGAAGGAAGGAAGTGAAGGAAGGGGAGGAAGGTAGGAAGGAAGGAAGGGAAGGTAGGTAGGAGGAAGGAAGAAGGAGGAGTAGGAGGAATGGAAGGAAGGAGGAAGGAAGGGTAGGTAGGAAGGAAGGAAGGAAGGTAGGTAGGAAGGAAGGAAGGAAGGAAGGAAAGAAGGAAGGAAGGACAGGAGGGACCCTGATGATATAAGAGAAGAATGAGACGAACTTAGCAAAAGAAGTAGCCAGAGAATCACTTGAACGAGCAATAATGTACCCACCACGGCCCAGAGATAGAGCTCAACCTCTGGTTTAACTCCGCTGGCCCGCACACGGCCCTTATATGGCTCTCACATGGCCTTCACATGGCTCCCACATGGCCACCACATGGCCACTACAGCCTGACTGATCTGAGCACTTGCCTGTAGCACTAACACTTGCCTGTAGCACCTGGCACTTCCCTGTGGCACTAACACTTGCCTGTAGCACCTGGTACTTTCCTGTGGCACTAACACTTGCCTGTAGCACCTGGCACTTTCCTGTGCCACTAACACTTGCCTGTAGCACCTGGCACTTCCCTGTGGCACTAACACTTGCCTGTAGCACCTGGCACTTCCCTGTGGCACTAACACTTGCCTGAACTGACACCCAAGATGAACCTGGAGACCATCATGGCGTAGTATGGTCCCATCTCTCCCGTATTCTTGAAGACAGCCAGGAGAGCGTACATGATGTTCCCTACCATGAACATCACTACTGATGTTATACTGACAGCCCTGGTAATGAACGTTATTATTTTTTATATTATTATTATTATTATTATTATTATTATTATTAATATTATTATTATTATTATTAATTATTATTATTATTTTATTATTATTTATTATTATATTATTATTATTATTATTATTATTATTATATTGTACCAAGCTGTAGCTAGTGTTACGATGACACAGTCAGTGAAGTTTTTGGTCCTGAGGCCGAATCTCACCTGATGGAACCGGTCTTGTTGGCCCAGAGGCCCAGGGCAGGTGCTGCTAACATCTGTCCAAGAGGGTTGACTGCTACTACCCATCCCAGTGACTTCTTGGTGGTGGATGGTACCAGCTGTAAGATACAACAGCTGCTGTTACTGCTGTTACGGGAACAGTAACTGCTGTTTACACGTACAGTAGCTGCTGTTACTACTGTGACAGGTACAGTAGCTACTGTTACTACTGTGACAGGTACAGTAGCTGCTGTTTATAGGTACAGTAATGCCTACAGGTACAGTAGCTGCTGTTTATAGGTACAGTAATGCTGCCTACAGGTACAGTAGCTGCTGTTTATAGGTACAGTAATGCTGCCTACAGGTACAGTAGCTGCTGTTTATAGGTACAGTAACGCTGCCTGCAGGTACAGTAGCTGCTGTTTATAGGTACAGTAACGCTGCCTGCAGGTACAGTAGCTGCTGTTTATAGGTACAGTAACGCTGCCTGCAGGTACAGTAGCTGCTGTTTATAGGTACAGTAACGCTGCCTGCAGGTACAGTAGCTGCTGTTACTACTGTGACAGGTACATTTTTGGGGTATCTTTTTTTTAGATTTTTTTTTTTTATACTGTGTCAAGATTTTTAATTTCAACTTTGATTTTAAAATTCTTAGCAGAGGAGATATATCAAGATTTTCATGGTAAGGGAGAACTAACATATTCACGGATGAATATGGCTGTCTGTCCTTTTATGAATTTTAAAACATATTTCTATCAATTTTAAGGGATTTATCAATTAAGTATTTTGGGTATTTTAGATCATTAACTATTTCTTAAAACGAAAAATGTTGATGGTTGTGTATAAAAGATTCCCTGTATAAAATGTGATAAAGATTACCACGGTCAAACTGGAAAACGTTTTGGACTAAGATTGCAATAACATTAGAACTGTCCAAGAGTCTAATGCTCTGTTTATTCATATGAGAGATTTTTTAACCGTCCAATTCATTTTGAAAAGACTGAGAAAGTTGTATCAAGCAGATCTATGTTTGAGAGAAATACAACTGAATCAAGATTCATAAAAAATAGTATTGATTTTAATATGAATAATAATTTAGGGTTATATAAATTAGATTCATGTTCAAATTTATTGAATCCAAGAAATTCCACCGATTGGATTCGTTTGTAAATAAGATGATGCAGCAGTCGCTGGGGCCCTTAACATCCACCCAAACAACACATACCAACTTGGAAATTATAAGATTAGAAATACTAATTGACAGTTTCACATTTATGAATGAATTAGGTAGGTTTAAATTGTTAGAAACTAATATCAGAATTAACAATGTAGTCTTAGATCTTAATATAGGTTAATATTAGGTAGATTAAAGATAATGTTAACTAGCAACTCCATCCTTAAACGAAGGCAGGATGATAGTTTAGTATACGTGGAGAGAGTTTTGGAGGTCAACGCCCCGCGCTGCCTTGTCTGTAACCAGGCCTCATGGTGGATCAGGGCCTATTCAACCAGCCTCCCTGGTCAAGTACTGACTTTAGGTGCCTGTCCAGTGCCTGCTTGAAGACAGCCAGGGACCTATTGGTATTCCACATGATGTATACTGGGAGGCAGTTGAACAGTCTTGGGCCCCTGACACTTATTGTGTTGTCTCTTATCGTGCTTTTCACTGGGGGGATGTTGCACCATCTGCCGAGTCTTTTGCTTTCACAGGGAATGAATTTCATATGCAACTTTGGAACTAGTCCCTCTAGGATTTTCCAGGTGTATGTAATCATGAGTGTCATCATAAAGAGTGTCATCATGGGCTTGGCATCCCTAGTTTTGAAGGTTCTCATTATCCATCCTGTCATTTTTCTAGCAGATGTGATTGATACAATGTTATGGTCCTTGAAGGTGAGATCCTCTGACATAATCACTCCCAGGTTTTTCACATTAGTTGTTTGCTCTATTGTGTGGCTGGAACTTGTTTTACACTCTGATGAAGCTTAAATTTCCTCACGTTTTCCATATCGGAGTAATTGAAATTTCTCATCGTTGAACTTCATATTGTTTTATGCGGCCCATTTATAGATTTGGTTGATGTCCGCCTGAAGTCTTGCAGTGTCTGCAATGGAGGACACTGTCATGCAAATTTGGGTGTCATCTGCAAAGGAAGACACGGTGCTGTGGCTGACATCCATGTCTATGTCCGATATGAGGATGAGGAACAAGATGGGAGCGAGTACTGTGCCTTGTGGGACAGAGCTTTTCACCGTAGCCGCCTCAGACTTTACTCTGTTGACTACTGCTCTTTGTGTTCTATTTGTGAGGAAATTATAGATCCATCTACCGACTTTTCCTGTTATTCCTTTATCACGCATTTTGTGCGCTATTACACCATGGTCACACTTATCAAATGCTTTTGCAAAGTCTGTGTACATTACATCTGTATTCTGTTTGTCTTCTAGAGCATCCAGGACATTGTCGTAGTAGTCCAGTAGTTGGGACAGACAGGAGCGACCTGCTCTAAACCCATGTTGCCCTGGGTTGTGTAATTGATGGGTATCTAGACGGGTGGTGATCTTGCTTCTTCGAACCCTTTCAAAGTTTTTATGATATGGGGCGTCTGTAGTTCTTTGCTATTGCTTTACTGTCCCCTTTGTGGAGTGGGGCTATGTCTGTTGTTTTTAGTAACTGTGGGACGACCCCAGTGTCCATGCTCTCTCTCCACAAGATGTTAAAAGCACGTGATAGGGGCTTCTTGCAGTTCTTGATGAACACGGAGTTCCATGCGTCTGGGCCTGGGGCAGAGTGCATGGGTATGTCATTTATCGTCTTTTCGAAGTCATTTGGCGTCAGGATAAGATCAGATAGGTGTGTGTCTACCAAATTTTGTGTCTCTCATAAAAAATTCAATTAGGTCTTCGACTCTTAGTCCGGTTAGCGGCTCGCTAAAAACCGAGTCATATTGGGACTTGAGTAGCTCACTCATTTCCTTGCTGTCATCTGTGTAGGACCCATCTTGTTTAAGTAGGGGCCCAATACTGGATGTTGTTCTCGACTTCGATTTGGCATAAGAAAAGAAATACTTCGGGTTTCTTTCAATTTCATTTATGGTTTTTAGTTCTTCCCGCGATTCCTGACTCCCATAAGATTCCTATAGCTTTAGTTCGATGTTTGCTATTTCTCTGACCAGTGTCTCCCTACGTATTGCAGATATATTGCCCTCTTGTAGCCGCTCTGTTATTCTTTGCCTTCGCCTGTATAGGGAGCGCCCTTCTTTTTCCCTATTTTTAATCTTCCCCTTTTTTCCCTTAAGGAAATATGCCTTGGTATAACCTCCAATTTCACAGATTTAAATTTTTGTTTTAAGACATAGGTAGGACCCCCCCTTGTTCCCTAAGTCTGCCCTTCCCATTTTTTAATATAAATTTAAAAATTGGGTTTTAAACTTGAAGGTTTCACTCGTACTGTTTCATACTTTGTCTGTCGGGGGCTCTTCCCAAAATGAATATCTGGACCTCTTTTAAATTTTGTAAATCGTTTATTGTTTTTGAAAAGTGACATTTAGTAATCAGATCATCTTTCACCAATCTTGAAGGCCTTTTAATTTTGGCTGGTTTAAGGTAAATTTTGGGCGCAGATTTTTTAAAACTCGTGTGTGTGCGAGTTTTAAATCTGAGTTTGCCCCCTGGTGTTACTCTGCTACAACATTATTTTTACTTCCTCCATTTTAGGTCCCTTGGGTTGAAATGAAAGATTTGGGGCAGGACTGGAAGTTTTCAGACTTTGGTCAATTTTCAAAGCGGGTTCCCCGGGAAATTTGGGTTGGGGACTTTGCACCCGGGGGCTTGTTAAAACCCAAAAATTTTCCAGGTTTTGGTTCTCGATCTTTATTTGCTAAAACTTCAACAACAAAATTTTGGGGAAGAATTTAAAATTTTTCTGAACAAAAAAGGGGACTCTGTGATATGCGGGCCCAAACCCCCCCCCCCCCCATCCCCCACCCTTTTTTCCCTTTTCCCCTTGTCACATCAAAAAGGGTTTTGTAACCGGGGAACCATATTTCGTTGTCCAAGAGATTTTTTAATATGGGCCTGTAAAACCCGCAACATTGCTTTTCGCCCTCCGTAAGCATTTCCACGGATGACAGGTATTTTGTTATTCTTTGCGGCTTTAGACCCTGTATATTTGGATACAGAAATCTCAAAACTATGGACATTTTTTTTGAAATTAAAAATCAAAGGAATGAAAGGTTTCCCCTTTTGGACTTCTACTGTCAAAACCCTCACAACAAAAAAATATTAAATTTTACTGTACATCCCGGGAAGAAAAAACCTAAAATTTCTACCCACACGGGAATCTGTGATAATCATCGATTTTGATATTTGTTTTGAAAAAGGGAAAATTTGGGTTTTTAACTGGGACAAAATAACCCCCACCCCCGCCCACCATCCCGCCCACCATCCCTTTCCCCCATCTCTTTTAAACCCCATCCTCCCCCACCACCCGCCCACCACCCCGTTCCCCCATCCTTTCCCACCATCCCCCCCCACCATCCCTTTTCACTACCCCGGGCCCACCTTTCCCGGCCCACCTTTCCCGGGCCCCCAAATTCCCGCACCACTCTTTTCACCCCATCCCCGCCCAACATCCCGTTCACTTACCCCGCCCACCTCCCCCCCACCTCCCGCCCACCACCCCCCCCCATCCCGTTCACTATCCCCCCACCTTTCCCACCCCCCCATCCCTTTTCAACTATCCCTCCCACGAACCCTCCCACCATCCCCCCCCACCTTTCCCCCCACCATCCCGTTCACCAACCCTCCCCCCACCCCGCCCAAACCCCCCCCACCTCCCCCAAATCCCTCCCACCACCCCCGCCCACCATCCCTTTCACTATCCCCCCCCCACGAACCCTCCCACCAACCCCCCCCACCACCCCGTTCACCCCATCCCCCCCACCATCCCGCCCACCCCCCGCCCACTATCCCCCCCAAAACCAACCCGCCCACCACCCCTTTTCATTTATCCCTCCCACGAACCCCCCACCATCCCCCCCCACCACCCCCATTCCCAACCCCCCACCTTTCCCCGCCCCAACCCCGCCCACTATCCCTCCCACCACCCCGCCCACCAC